AAAACATTTTCAATTTTTAGATTTAAATATTTACTAGGCAAATTACTGGTACTGTATTGAGATGAAGTACAGCAAATTATTAAATAAATTGAATAGTCTTATTTTTATTGTTAAATAGTTCTAAAAATATTTAAAAGAATCAACATTTATTACCTTGAATCGTTCTGAAGTCAATGATGATGGATATAAAAATATGCATTTATGTACTCTTTGCTTCTACCTAAAAAACACAGTGTGTCGTCATGGCTGGTGGCTCAGTTGGTTGGAGTTTGATCCCCCAATAGGGCACATACCATCAAGGAGGAAGTTACCTGTCTTACTCGTCTGTCTGTCTCCAGTTTGTACATAGATTTGCTTAATGAATGTTTAAAAATAAAACTATATACTGAAGACATAATTACACAGATTACGCACTAGGTTTTTTTTAATCCTCACCTGAGGATATGTTTACTGATTTTAGAGAGACAGAAAGGGAGAGAGAGAAACATCGATGAGAGAGAAACATCAATCAGTTGACTGGGGATCGAACCCGCAACCGAGGAATATGCCTTGACCAGAAATCAAACCTGCAACCTTTTTGGTATAGGGGATGACACCCCAACCAAAGGGAATGACTTTGTTTTAAACAAATTTTTTTTTAGAGAGGGGAAGGGAGGGAGAAAGAGAGGGAGAGAAACATCGACATGACAGAGAAACATTAATCGGTTGCCTCTTGTGAGCGAGCATGTGCCCTGACCCGGAATCAACGTGTGACCTTTCGCTTTGCAGACGACAGCCAGCCAGCTGAGCTGCACCAGTCAGGGCTAAACAAAGTAAGCTTAAGATGGCTGTCAGGCAACTGAGTGAGATGTCAGATAGCTATTTGTATGCTAGCCTGTAACTCAGGCGAGAAGTCAAGGTAGGAGATGAAGCATGGGTGAATCCTGAGTTATAAATGGTCACAGTAGCGTGATACGAGATGAAATTTCCTAGGAAGAGGGACAAAAGGAACAAGAAATCTGAAGGCTGACTCCTGAGAGGTGCCAAACTTTAAGTCGGAAAGAAAAGAGAAACCTGCAGAGGAGACCGAGATGCAGTGGCACTGAAGTCAGGGGGAAGCCAGCCAAGCACTGCTGACAATTAAGTGTCCCGTAATTTATCCCTGTTTAAATCTTTCAGTGTATTGTATTAATATAGTTGAGTATTTTTATATTGCAACGTCGTAAAATAAGAAGTCTGAAACTTCTACATTTATTTATTTTTGTATTGTAAATCAATATCTCTTCTCTTTTTTAATTTAGGAGACCTCACTAAACAGCTCCCCATCATGGTGGTGGGGGAGCACAAAGATAAAGTGATTCAGTGCAGGTGGCACACCAAGGACCTGTCCTTCCTGTCGTCCTCTGCAGACAGAACTGTAACCCTCTGGACTTACAATGGGTAGAGGACACCCAGTGTCAGTCCAGGCAGAGAAAGCACGGGGACTTAAGACTACTGAGTTGTGACAATTCCAGATTTGAAGGACATAGACTGACCAGGAAGGCGGCTTAGCATGAGGAGGCCCCTTTGACCTTGCACCCCTGTGGTAGGAGCTGTTGGGCGTGTTACTCTACAGTGCTTTGGTCTTCCACGTGAGCTCGTGCTGCTGTGACCTGCTGTGTGTAGTCTCGTTGCCAAAGTCTGCGGAAAAGCTCTTAGGTTGTCAGTGTGCACTCCAAGTCAAGGTGGACGATGTGTTTACAGTTTAGTATTAAAGCATTCCTTGGTCTTTGCTGAAATAACAGTTTTGTATACACATTGAAATTGAACTCTACCTTAAGCATATTATTGCGTGTAACACAACCAAGTTCTACACAGATTAATTAAACATAGGTGTTCAGAAATTAATTTTGTTTTTCTCAGAATCCCATGATATTGTATCACTTGTCAGCTAGAGGTCAGAATTTTATGTCTCTTGAAAGCTACATGGTTGTTTTCACTGCGGATTGTTCTGGAGTTTAAAGATAGATGGGAAACTGCTTCTTAGTTCATTATGTGGAATAGGCCTTTTCTTTTGTCTTAACCTGGGATATAATTACTATTTTGTCACTTTATTTTGTTTCACGCTTCAAGGGTAAACATGTTTGCTTCAGAAACTTGTTAATTTCAATTTTTTGAATGCAACAAGATACCTCCCTTCCAAACTGTACTGTAGGGGCAGAGCAGCAGGGGGCGTGATCGGCACGTGACGGTACAGTCAACTCACTGGCCAGCCTTTTTCTCTAAACAGTGAAGACTTCGCCATAGACTACAGCATGGCTTGCAATGCTATATCTGCATGATAACTTAAACATGGAAATTTTAAACTTTGCACTCCAAAAGCTTATTTGGATTTTTTTCTTGCACTGTTTTGTGTACTGCAGAATAATGATTTTATTTCTATGGCATTGTAGATCCTAACACTTATCTATCTTTATTTTCATATTGTACAGTAATTTTACTTTAAATTATTAAATAGGCTATTTTATTTATTTCAGATGCAGTTGAGTTGGTTTTAATTATTGAACTGTCTGTGCACTGTATGTAGCAAGCATTTTTAAGCTACCGTATGCAAGTGGAAAGGGTATTAGAAGTGTAACTGTGCTATTATTTCAATAAAGACCTCATGGTACCTAAAACTATTCCTATTCTCAGCGTCCGTGGCTGTCATTTAGAGTGTTATTTTTTCCAGTTTACTTGGAGGAGGTGTGATCTGATGGATGAACAATCAATATCTTAAGTTTCTTTCTAAAGTTCTCCCACTAATTTACTTTTTAACCCTTGGCATCTGCACAACTTTTGTATATCTTCTACCTCTTATATTCAAGGTCTAGAGAGCTTCCTATCTTGAATATATTGTGAAAGTTGATTAATAAAGCCTGGCAATATTTACAAATTCTAACTCTGACTACAAATGTGTTGAATTGAGTACTCTTAGAAAGAAATGAAACCTAATTAGCTTGTGGGTATTCAGTAGGCACACAGAAGGGATGCAAAAGGGAGTTCTGCGAAAAATAGGCTACACACCTCTTTACTTTCTTTTCTTTTTTTGTTTACCCCCTTTATTTTTTCCTTTTTATTGAATTTATCGGCGTGATGCTGGTTAACAAAATAATACAGGGTTTCAGGTGCACAATTCTACAACATCATCTGTGCACTGTATTATGTTCGCCGCCCCATCGTTAATTTTCCTTCATGCTTACTTTTACACATTTTTGATATTATAGCAGGTCATTAGTGTTAAGTTTAAAAAGAGGAAAAAGGGCAATTTCTTGATATAGACCCGCTCAGCCTCCTGGCAAAAATATTCATAAAACTTTAGAGTCCACCTTCATCACTAGGAAGTAGTAAACTTGAAGATCCTCCTGTATGTGGGCTATGGAATCCATTTTGCAGTGCATTAGATAACAAGCGGTAGAAGTTATCCTATTGCAGTAAATATCTGGTTACATGTGTCCTTCCTCTGTCCCCACAGTGTCTTCTGCATGGAGGTGAATAGATTCTGGGGGGTTCATGTGAGAGAGAAAATACGAGAACTGAAGTATTTGTATTCTCTGGGCCTTTCCCATTTGGAGGTGCCAGGAAGGACAGTGGGGATGGGAGGGTGGTGCAGAAGTCCTTCATTCCTTGGCAGGAGCTTCACATTCTGCTAAGGGTTCTGATTCAAATATTATTTTTTAAATGTTTGACTATTTTTTTAAATGTAGTAAGCCAGGGATACAATCAACTGAGTGGAAAACCAACCCATGAAGTGGGAGAAAATATTGGCAAATCGTATCTGATAAAGAGTTAATATCCAGAATAAAGAACTCCTATACTTCAATAACAACCCCCTCCCCCAAACTGTGAGCCTGATTGTAAATTGGGCAAAGGACTTGCATTCACATTTCTCCAAAGAAGACAGACAAATGGCCAATAAGCACATGCAAATATGCTCGACACCACTGATAATTAGGAAAATGAAAATGAAAACCGTGAGACCATCTTATATCCATTAGAATGTCCACTCTAAAAAAAAAAAAGTACTGGAAAGGGTGTGAAGAAATTGGAACTCCTGTGCACTGTTGGTGAGAATATAAAGTGGTACAGCCACAGTGGAAAACAGTATAGCGGTTCCTCAAAAAATTAAAAGTAGGACTACCGTATGATCCTGTGTTCTCACTTCTGGGTATGTACCAAAAAGAAGAAAGCAGGGGCTCGAAGAGAGGTTTGTACACTCATGTTGATAGCAGCATTACTCAAAATAGCCAAAAAAAGTGCAGGAAACCCGAGTCCATCAACAGATAAATGGGTAACAAACTTTTGTATACAATACCATGGAGTATTATTCAGCCTTAAAGAAGGAAGGAAATGTTGACACATTCCAACATGGATGATCCTTGAGAGTATTATGCTAAGTGGAATAACATTTAGGAATATGCTAGTGGATTAACACTTAGCACGGTTGCACAACAGTGTGAGTGCATTAAATGATGAGAAAAAAAGTGGTTAAGAAAAAGTTTATTTCAGGTGTATTTTAATTAAAGAATTGTAATAAGCAACATGCGCACTCAGGTACATTATATACCAAATTTTGAGCCACTTTAAAATTTGTTGCCAAAGGCTTGTGTACATCTCTCATCCTCTCCTAGTGGGTAAAACTCGGCCTTTTCTCTTTAGATTCCTGAGATTGCAAGGCCAGCAGATAAAGACAAAAAGAAAGCAATCCCTCTGCCCTGTCCCATGAGACAATTGTTTCTATTCATCATATTCCATTTATAATATGCTCAAAATAGGTTTCTGGGTTTTATTGCAAATGTTACACATCCACAGTTATGAAATAAGTCAAGACCTAAAAAATACGCCTCGTATCTGTTTTCCGTATTTGGCTTCGGTGTGAGTTGTTATTTGCGGAGTTCTACCAATGAGAAGAAAAGCCCCGGGCGGAAATCCAGCCCACAGGAGCTGGCCCCGCCCCCTAGGCGAGCCAATCAGTGGCGCGCCCGGGAAGGACGCACAGCTGCGGGCGGAGCGAGTCGTTGAGGGCGCGCCGGACGCTCGGCGTCCTCGGGAGCTCTTGGGGTGTCTAGAGGGCGGTTCTCCACCCTCCTGGGCCTTCCCGGCGGGTATCTGTCTTCGTGAAGAGGCTCACGGGCGACTGCGGACGTAAGTGTCGCTGTGTTTGTGCGGCAGGCGGACCGTGGGCGGCGTTGCGGGGCTGTGGGGTCGGGTCCCGGCTGGTTCCGCGGGCGGCGGGGAGGCCGCGCGCTCCCGGGCTTGCGGGTAGTTCGGAGCGCTGAGTCTTCCCGGGCGGGAGAGCCACCGCGCCTTCTCCTCCGCGGCCAGCGGGTCGCCTCATCTCCGGAGCTCCGCTGCACTTCGCTGTCCAAAGAGCGGCCTAGGGAAGCGGGGCGAGCGAGTGCGTAGCCGACCGGGACGAACGTTGACTTTGTTAGAATTTCGTTGTCTCTGAAAACTTTACGCAGCATTTGAACAAATACCGTTCTCTGAAGTGCCCGGATTTGTTGGTGGTGCATTTTGAAAAACTCATCTAATGTGAGTGTCAAAAGTTGGAGATGCATGTTTCACGAGCGGGTGGTGACCAATCAGTGAGGTGTTCACCGACGGAGGTGATGAAAGCGGGGTCCCGGGGCCGCTTCATCATCATCAGCGCCTTCACCTGGGAGCTGGTTAGACTCGCGCCCGAGCGTTCCAGCCGAGGCCCCAGGAAACCGCATGTGCGCACGCGCACTGAACTCCAGAACCCAGACGTCCAGGCCGTGCTGGGCTGGTGCGGAATTTGACCCACTATCCACGTTAGCCTTGTGTTTCTCACTGAACATGTAAATTTATTGGAATAAGATCCTTTTCCTTTCTGCTTGATCCCCCCAGTAGCTGGCAGTCTCCCTGGAGACCTCAGCCTTTCTTGGTCGCTCCCCAGTCTGGTAGCTCAGGTCCCAGGTCACTCTGGGCGTTTCCCACTGTGTAGGCTTGTGGGTCGAGGAGTGTCTCCCCTTTGCCCCTGTCTAGCCACTAGCGTCATGCCCCCGAGAGGCAGTGTACGTAGAGCCAATCTGGGTCCAGTTGTTACCAGACGAGGACTGGACCCAGAGCGGAGCTGCTTTGGGCCCTGAGCTGGTAGTGGGTGGGTTCTTGACTTGGTGTAGAAAGGTTTCATACCAGGAGTCCAGGTGATTTTGAGAGCATGTTTACTACAGCTGGGGGCAGTGAAATGAAGGGCTTGCAGTAGAGGAAGAAACCCGAGAAAGCTGAGGCAGGTCCAGGGGGTAAGCCCTGGCAGAGCTGCCTCTGCCCACTGCTCCCCTGGTTGCAGCCCCGGGGGGTCCCTTAGAGTCGAGAAGGAAGACAGCAGAGAGGGGAGGCTGGGCCTGTTCTAGTGAGAGCGCCGTCGGTGGCTGCTTGGTCGTGGGGCTTGGATTCTTTCTTTGCCCAGCCGGGATCCTTGGGGAGTCCTCAGGGAAAGGTCTGAACAGAACGTTCCTTAGCTTTCCAGGTGTGCCCTTCACTATGGTGATTTATCAGGATGTGTGCATAGTGGGGTCAGGGGTTATTTTCTGGTTAGTTTCAATTTAAAGAAGGGCGTTGAATCCGGACCCCAACCTGGGCGGCTTTGTCTCAGGACAGTCTGGAATGTGTATACCATTTATTTGCTCCTAAGTGTCCTTGGTTAGTGAAGATAAAACCTGATGATTCATTAGCTGACTGTAAATTGCCCAAATCTTTTGGCCTTGTTTAAGTATTTTGTTTCAGTTTCCTGTATTTCACCTGTCAAGGAACTACCCTGGCTTCTCATATCCTGAGTCACTGTCACTTACTAGTTGAGTGACCTTGGGCACCTTGTTTTCCTCCTGTATGAAATGAAGGTAACAACAGTACTACTTCCAAGAGTTCTTGTGAGGCTTAAACGAATGAATGAATGCATGAAGCAGTGTTTGGCACATAGTAATAAAAGACTCGCTACTATTATAATTTGGATATTGTAAAGCCTGACATGGATGAAAAAATGATTTTTTTAAAAAAAGGGCACCGGCTGGTGTGTCTCAGTGGATTGAGTGCCGGCCTGTGAACCAAAGGGTCACCAGTTCGATTCACAGTCAGGCAGGTGCCTGGATTGCAGGCCAGGTCTGCAGTAGGGGGCGTGTGAGAGGCAGCCACACATTGATGTTTCTCTCCTTCCCTTTCTTTCTCCCTCCCTTTGTCTCTCTTTATAAATAAGTAAATAAAATATTTTTAAAAATAAAGAAAAAAATGATAAACGGGAGCTAGGGGAGAGAGACCACTGCTAGTAAGTGTTAGAATCACAGGTGCTGCGATCCAGCCGACGCAGCGCACGGTGGTTCCTGGTCCTTAATGCTTCCCAGAGTGCTGTTGTCGGCTGGGCTGGCGTCTCCGCCATCGCTCGGAGCCTCGGGAAATGCAGACTTTCAGGCCCACCTTAGACTTAACCAGAATCTGTGTGTTAGCAAGGTCCTGTTTGTTAACAGGTTTAGATAAAGCCTTGTATGGAGGAAGTGTGAGATTAATTGTAAGATTCTGCAAGGAGTTCCAGCCTTAAATCTGTGACGGTGGGGCTTTGGCAGGAGGGCTTGAATTTGCAGCTGACTCCACTAACGGGCCTCACCTCCTGGTCTCGCGTCGTTTGTGCCTTGCTGAACCTAGCCCTGTAGAAAGCTCTCCCTCTTCTGTTCATTATTGAGAATGTGATACGGTTGCCAGTAGCATGACTTTGTGGGGGTCATGGTCAAAACACAACTGCTTGACAGGCTTTTGAGTGACCTCCCCTGGTAAAGTGCCCCCTATAGTGCTGTTCTTCCAAACCTCCAACCTCGTTCCTCACAGTGACACTTGGGGCTTTCTAGTGGCTATGTCACGGCCCGCTTGATGCCGTGTAGTAGTAACATGACCTTGTCAGCTGCTGCTCTTCGTGCTTTACGACCTTTATTTCCGTCCCTCCTCAAGTATTTCTGTCGATGAAGTAGTTTAAACCTGTGTTGCCTATGAAAAGCCTTTCCTGCAGCCTCGATTTCATACCTGCCATCTTTTGAGAGCCTCTGCTTGGTTTAGACACTTGCTCTGTCACCTACTTAGTTTTTTAACTGCTTAGAAGACTGCTGGTGTCGTTTTTTTGTATCCCTGTCACTTAAGAGGGTGCCCTGTCCAGTATGTATTTAGTAAATGTTGAACAAATGACTTCTAAAATTTTTCCCAAAACTACATTCTCATTCTGAGTTTCTTTTTCTTTTTTTTTTAACCCTCACTTGAGGACATTGATTTTGGGGTGGGGTAGGGGGAGAGAAACATCAATCTGTTGCCTCTCAGGGGCACCCTGACCAGGGGCTGAACCCACCAGCTAGGCATGTGCCCTGACTGGGAATCGAACCCATGACCTTTCAGTTTATCGGCTGATGCTCCAACCAGCTGAGCCTCACCAGCCAGGGGTCGTATGTTTTTTAGGTTAATGACATCCCTGTCACGGGTGGTGGTGGTGGACCTTGAAACCCTGGAGTCATGTTTGTCATTGTTTCTTTCCTTTCCCGTGTGCTCAGTTGCTGAGGTCTGTAGAACTCACCTTCACGGTGAGTCACCTGTGTTCCTCTGGCCTCATTGCCAGCACTCTTTCAGACCCACACTCTTTTTCTGCTTCAGTCTCCTGCTGGGCCCTCTGGGTGCGTTTTTTTCACACTCCGCACACTTAATGCTGCTGTCCCCTTCCAACGTGTGGCTCCCGTCACCCTTGAGAGCAGATGAAGTCAGTCGGTCAAGCTTTTCCCTTTGGCAGTGTCACCCCAGCCTACCTCACCATCAGCCTGTCTGTCCTGCCACCCCTGCCACTTACTGTCTTCCATGCGCCAGCCGCTGGGTAGGCGCTGGGCTTGGCGACACGCAGGGGACAAGATGGAGAGGTCATCGGGAAGGGGACCTCAGAGTTGAATAAGACGTCACCTTTCTCCTAAAAGCTCGCAATACAGGCCAGAGGTTTTCTACCTTCAGTGCATGTTGGAACTGCCTGGGGAGCTTTCACAATCCCAGTGTGGGTCCCAGCCCTGAAGGTTCTGATTTAGTTGGACTGTGATTTAGCCAGGCGGGTGGGAGTTCTAGAAGCTTTACAGGTGATTCTGCTGCACAGCCCAGCTGGAACGCCACTGTGCTAACTGAAGAGACAGACCAATGAGGAGGTAATTTCAGAAGCGGGGAGAGAGGTAGTTGTCCCAGAGGAATAAACACACTGGACACACAGAGCAGGAGTATAGTTTAACCTGGAGTTACTTTTATTTCTACAATTAGACTGTAAGCCATTTATGGGCAGAACCCAAGGCTTTCTCATCTTGAAATTGCCTTACCCGATCCTTAGCTTTAATAGGTATAGAACAGGCTGTCCAACAGAAGATGCTGAAAATCTTCTATATTAACGTTGTGCAGTCTAGTAGCCACTAGACCCATGTGGCTGCTTACATTTAAATCAATTAAAATTAAGTAAACTAACACATTCAGTTCCTCATTCTCACACATGGAACTTCAACTGCTCAATAGCTACACAGGGCTAGCCGCTACCACACCGGGCAGCATTGAATACAGGAGGTCGTTAAGTGTTGAAGCAACTTGACGGTGTTCATGTAGAGGCTTAGATGGAGCAGGTTATTTTTTCTTGGTGGTGTGAGAGTGCAGTCACCTCATTTGAATCATAATTTTAAAATTTTAAAAAAGTTTTAAATTCCAGTTGACACATATTGTATGTCAGGTGTACAACATAGTGATTGGACATTTCTATAACTTATGAATTGATCATCCATATAAGCCTAGTACCCACCTGACATCATATAAAGTTATGACAGTATTTTTTACTCTGTTTCCTATGCTGTAATTTACATCCCTGTGACTGTTTTCGTAACTGTCAATTTGTAAATCTTAATCCTTTCCTCTTTTTCAACCATCTTCTCCATCTGGCAACCATCAGTTCTCTGTATCTAGGTGTGTGTTTCTGTTTTGTTTGTTATTTTAGATTCCAGATACAAGATTCCTTTGTATTTCTGTGAAGTTGATTTTCAGTTCCCTTCTTTCATTTCTGATTTTATTTATTTGGATCCCCTATTTTTCTTTGTGACTCTGGCTAAAGCTTTACGAATTTTGTTCATTTTTTCAAAGAA